CCTACAGTTCTGTATCTTATTGGACTAATGAAATGAAATAGAGTTTATATCCTACTGTTCTATATCTTATTGGACTAATAGAATGAAATAGAGTTTTATATCCTACTGTTCTGTATCTTATTAGACTAATGAAATGAAATGGAGTTTTATATCCTACTGTTCTGTATCTTATTGACTAATGAAATGAAATGGAGTTTTATATCCTACGTTCTGTATATTATTGCACTAATGAAATGAAATAGAGTTTTATATCCTATTGTTCTGTATATTATTGGACTAATGAAATGAAATAGAGTTTTATATCCTACTGTTCTGTATATTATTGGTCTAATGAAATGAAATGGGAGTTTTATATCCTACTGTTCTGTATCTTATTGGACTAATGAAATGAAATAAAATCTACTGCTCTAAATGAGCCGATGAATAAAAAAGTGCTTACTGGAAAAAACGGAAGCTAGAATAAGAGTTAAATTAAACATATTAGAAATATGGGCAATGAGGAGAAATTAGATTCGACGTACTTAAAAAAAGAGAAGGCTTCCATTGGCATAACAGGTACAAATGTAAACAAAGCTGTTTAATTGTTTCTGAAGGGCTTCTGCTTCTTTTTTATATATACGTTGACACTATTTTCTGCACATTGCCCATATTTTATTAATATTGACAGAACTTCATATTTTATTAATATTGACAGAACTTCATATTTTATTAATATTGACAGAACTTCATATTTTATTAATATTGACAGAACTTCATATTTTATTAATATTGACAGAACTTCATATTTTATTAATATTGACAGAACTTCATATTTTATTGATATTGACAGAACTTCATATTTTATTGATATTGACAGAACTTCATATTTTATTAATATTGACCGAACTTCATATTTTATTGATATTGACAGAACTTCATATTTTATTAATATTGACAGAACTTCATATTTTATTAATATTGACAGAACTTCATATTTTATTAATATTGACAGAACTTCATATTTTATTAATATTGACAGAACTTCATATTTTATTAATATTGACAGAACTTCATATTTTATTAATATTGACAGAACTTCATATTTTATTAATATTGACAGAACTTCATATTTTATTAATATTGACAGAACTTCATATTTTATTAATATTGACAGAACTTCATATTTTATTAATATTGACAGAACTTCATATTTTATTAATATTGATAGAACTTCATATTTTATTAATATTGACAGAACTTCATATTTTATTAATATTGATAGAACTTCATATTTTATTAATATTGACAGAACTTCATATTTTATTAATATTGACAGAACTTCATATTTTATTAATATTGACAGAACTTCATATTTTATTAATATTGACAGAACTTCAAGCGCCTGTGATTGAACTTATAAAGATGCTTAAATCCGTGTCAAAATATAGGACAACTGACAAAAATCGATACAATGATAAAACCTATGAAACAACATAAATAAAAGAAATTAAAGGTGACATACCTTAAAAACTGAATGAATTCAAGTCCACGAGATATCTGTTCTAAATATAAATTCTATGTTTACTTTATCAGTGAAAACCTCCAGTAGGTAGGTAGGTAGATGACAAGTCTACCTCCGCTAGTCTTATACTATTAGCCTGTTAAACCACGGCAAGCTATATATCTATCTAGCCTGTCTTGTGATTCAAATACTGTCTAGCTATTGGACGACACTAGGCTCTAGTCAGGTCTCTTGCCATATAAGGTAATAGACTGTGGTTTTATTGCTAACAAGTCGAGAATTAGTCATTGACTAAAGATAGACTTAGACTAATGTTTTAAGTTAAAAATTTCAATATGTCCCATCCTATCTCTTCATACCGATCCTCCTCGACAGTTGGAAATCGAAAAAGAGAAGGCTAATGCCGATGTCTTGGCAAAATTTCCCTTATTGCACACTAACAGTAAAGATGTTCTCTTGGTCTATTGGGGACACCGATAGTAATAACATGAACCATTCAAATTTTCAGGCCCTGATATACATAAACAAAGCCCGAATACCTCTTAACAGTCTCATACAACGTTTCGTCTCATTCAGGGTCGGCACTTCATCGAGGAGGAAAATGAATTATGCCGAATTAGACAAAAAATTAAAATAGAAACCAATTTGTTTAAAAAAATTAGAAACATAATAAATATGATATCTGTTAAATATATCGTTATTTGATATCTACAATAAAGCAGTGAAAGACATTACAGACTTAAAGGGATAGATGCGACAACACGGTTAACTTCATTTCATGTGGACATATAGAGATATATCGGTGTTGGCTCTCACCCCCTCATACTATATATAGCTTGATATTTTTTAGAATCTCCACTGTGTAGGTTATATTTCTCTCTTATCAGATCTTTATATCATAATGTTTCAGGTAATGGATCAGGTTGATGAAATCGACACAGTGTTGTTTTAATCTTAGGATCATCAATACCTTCACCAACCTACCTTCACCACCTCCGTTCCATCTTCACAAAGTCAAACTACATGTATTACTATAACTTTGTCTTATACCTTATATCAGAGATCTCGAAGTCTGTAAACTGTAGGCCATGATGTTTACAGTCTTACCAGTGCTCTGATTGGCTGTATTCACTGGCTTACAGTCCAACCAAATAGCTCCATTTACAAACTGATGTAATACAAAAAAGGTGGCTATAGTTGTCAAGGTATATGACGAAGTTCGTAATAGCTACACATTGTGAATATGCCTCCTTTTTTACTTATCCACTTCGGCCTCTTTTCTGTCACCCAATCCAAAACCACTCCCTGATTGGCTTTAACACTGTGTCAGTGCCTTCTGTTGAAAAGTGACATGTCAATATTAACTGGTTTCTTTTCAACCACCCTAATCACTACTTAAATAAAAATATTTCATGAATAATTATTGGTTGTTTTATCATGGTATATGTAAAATATATAGTAACCACTTAATAAATATTCATTAGTCTAAATAGTCTTCAGAAGTAGTAGAAATTTACGAAAAACACATAATTCTCTCAAAAATATCTCAAACTAGGAATTTTACTCACTATTTTTATATTTGGCAGTGTCTCTAGAAAATCAAGTCTATATATTAACTTTCAACCCCGAATGATTCAGGACACATATAGATTTGAAGGCTTAAATTTAGCTATGAACACTTGTACTGGTTGGCTTAGCCAAAAAAAAATCCAGTTTCTGAGACTAAGGTACGATTGGTGGACACCCTGTCTCTTTAAATCAAATAAGCCGCCGTGAAGAATAGAGATCTACACAGAGCGTGGTATTTTTAACTAATTTTTGGTCTAGATGTGGAATTTGATGTCTGAAATCGCATTTTCTTTCAGGTTTTGTGAGATGGTGAGAGATTTTCATGCGGATGGAAACTTCATGGTCATGATATATTGACTTTTTGTCCAGAAACTTTCATGTGACATATTGAAAAGGTTTCAACGAGATTTCTAGAAAACGTTATAAAATAAAGGACTCATTCCACTAAAAAATTTGATGTATACGAATGTAGTCCAGGCTATTTTTCGACATATTGGAAAGCTTTCAACGAGATTTCTGGAAGAGATGGCAAATGAATTAGTGGAGTGAGTCCATATTAAAAATATTCACAATTTTTATCTGAGTTTCTTCCCTTAGTATTGTTCAATTTTCTATATGAAATAGACGAATTTGTATGAAAAATGTAAAAATCTATATCAGTAACGGTTGTCTGAATAATTTCCAAATGAAAATTCTGGGAAATGTTGCTTTTAGCAAATACTTGTGACGTACCAAATCAAGTACACTCTGTCATGATCCCTATTAAGATAATACACACAGGGATCAATATTATAGATCTGAGGATGGGCTTGGATCTGCTGGACCGGAACCTCTAAACCTATTATAAAGTAGTTATATCTAGGTTTATCTGCTACAAGCAGGGGCAATGAACAGGATCGAAGGTAGAGGACGATAAGACGAGGAAATGGCGAGAAGCCGCGATGAAAATTATCCTCGGAATCTAGTTACATGAGTTTTTCACCCAATTTTATCGCATTTTCTATAAAACGTGAATTGGAGAGTAGAAAGAGTCATTTTCTTTAGCAAACCGTCATGCATGAAAATGTTATACCAGAGTTAAATCATGATAAGCATGTTATACCAGAGTTATATCATGATAAACATGTTATAGTAGAGTTATATCATGATTAACATGTTATAATAGAGTTAAATCATGTTAAACATGTTATAATAGAGTTATATCATGATAAACATGTTATATTAGAGTTATATCATGATAAACATAATATAATAGAGTTATATAAATGATAAACATGTTATAATAGAGTTATATCATGATAAACATGTTATAATAGAGTTATATCATGATAAACATGCTATAATAGAGTTATATCATGATAAGCATGTTATAATAGAGTTAAATCATGATAAACATGTTATACTAGAGTTTAATCATGATAAACATGTTATAATAGAGTTATATCATGATAAACATGTTATAATAGAGTTATATCATGATAAACATGTTATAACAGAGTTATATCATAATAAACATGTTATACCAGAGTTATATCATGATAAACATGTTATAATAGAGTTATATCATGATAAACATGTTATACCAGGGTTATATCAAAACAAATTATTTTACATGTTTTAATTATTGACAGGTTTTTTCTGCTACAAGAAATTCATTACTTCGTATTGTATCCCCATCAGATAGGTCGTCCAGAGTAACGTTATACAACAAACAAAAGACTGCTCCACCAGGTCGATAATTGAACATCAGACATTCCTTCGTCTCGGAACAATTTGAAATACATTGGTTCAGATAATTACCATCAATCGGATTAAAAAGCACGGCGATGACTGGTGGTGAATATAGAACACAACGAATATCAGTAACAACAAACGTGGAACATTGGGTATCGGTATTACATCTTTCATTACATTCAGTTTGTTTTACAGAGAATAAATTTTTCGGATATCCAGTATGAACTATTGTATCATTTGTATACTTGTAATCACAATCTAAAGTATAAAAAAGGTAATTCCTTAATTATAATTTTATATGTTAACAGATAATCAGGGTTGACAAGTTTAGGGTGTTATCTCTCGGGAAAAGATAACGAATTGTGCGATAGTGAAACCTAAAGTAGAATGCTGTGAAAGCCTCTTGTCGTTTTAAGATAGTATCAATATTTGGTAGGGGTGGTTTACAAGGCGTATCCTCATACGGGTTTTTTTCTGTCGCCCTAAGTAAGATACTTGTAATACAATGTTTTAGAGTTTGTAAAGTGGTTTCTGAATCTTTTTTGAGTATCGGTGTAACTGATAGCATCGATGTGACCCATTCCAATCTCAGTCAGACAAATACTTTGGATATTATTATCAGTTCTGGCGATAGTGATGTATATAGTATAGTATATACGTTTTAGCTTTTTTAAATTTAAACTGAATTCTTGAAGAAAATGTACCTGTCATATCTTGAGGTTCACAATATGGTTCTTGATATTTCCACTCTCCATCTATACAACTTATTAGTTGCTTCATGTTGAAACCTTCATTACAGGTAACACTGACATCAACACAATTGTCGTCCTTGTTGAAATATGCGTTTTTAACGTCAGGATAAGTTGAGCAATCTGAAATTATTATTTTGTTATCTATTATTCTTAATATGAAAAACAAACCAAAAATCCCGAATGATCAGATTTTATAAGTTATAAGTTGAGATGCCGTCGCATTTGATTCAAAATTTGTCTTGTGGCCCGCGGCCTCATGTAAAATTTGAGGGAAATGCGGCCCGCGACTTCAAATTTGTTTTTGGCCTCTAAATGCGGCCCGCGACATCAAATTTGTTTTTGGCCTCTAAAGCAAGCCTTTGCAACCTACGGCCCGCGGCGTCATGTAAAATTTGAGGGAAATGCGGACCGCGACCAAATGCTTCTTTGCTCTTGTCACTGTCGGTGTGGCTCGCAGATCATCACTGCCTATTCTGATATCGAAACCCATTATATCCGCTCTGTTATATTAAAGTATGACGTCCAAATGAATCTAACCAATCAAATTGTTAACGAGGTCTACCCTCGTGTGAAACAGTGATTTTACGTCAAATATATCTGCTATTTGCAATGCACATTGAAATACGTTATTGAGTAAATGACTTGAAAAAACTGCATGTTTCTCATTGTTAATTCCATGATTCATTTATGGATGGTTACGTGGGCCCACTCACATCCCCCAAATGTGACACGCCGTTGCGGAAAGGTTGCACAGGCCTGCTCTAAAGTGATACGAATGTACAAAATACAATGTCGATGCTGACGATTACAAATATTTTACATCAAGAATTGTTCAAATTATTATGGTTGCCGCATCGAAAAATCCTTAAAATTGAATCAGTTCAAGATCTCATCAATATGAATGATCACACCAAATTTCATTCATTCGCGTTCTTTTCTAAGTCAAGGGCAATAACTAAAAAACTGTTCATCGAAAAATCGTCAAATTCGAAACAGTTCAAGATATCATCAAAATGTCGAATATCTTGAAATTCACAGCAACAGTTAATTCTTCCACAAATAAAGAAAGCAATGGTCATTGTGTCGAATATCTTATATGAACAGTAATCTTGCTGACTATAAGCCATCCAAAAAAATTCTTATACTATATTATGAAAAAAATATTTACCGGCATCAATAAGAATCAGCGTTGTTACTGCTAATAAAAATACAGAACACAAGAGGTTATTCATATTTCTAGATAGATGACTCAACAAGATTCTTCACTCTTAGAAACAATGTTGAATGTTAAAATTCATTCGGAAATTTATACTAAAGTGTAAGACTCCTATTGAACAGATGCTAACTTGACACCTGTCAATCGATATCATGTTTTCGCCAATCTTTTCATCGACAGAATTCTAAAGCCCGGATAACAAGAGCTAATTTTCCTCTTAATCTTGATCAGGCGTGTGATCATGGCTTTTTACGAAGAAAACTATATCGGTATTTCTATTACAATGTTGTTTTGTCAACTTTAGAATATTCAAATGAAGTTCAAAACAAATAAAAATAGAAGGGATATGTGTGGCAGATTATCACGTCGCTGCACGTGAATGTGCTCATCGTTTTTGACTGTTTAAGATGTTGGCCCATCCCCTGTGGACAGAACTTTTCCATTTAGAAACTGAGAATTTCAACTATCTCTTCTGTCCTCCTGAAATTCCATTAAAGAATAAGTCTATGCAGATTCTTTTGAACATTATCAGGAGGTGCCCTTTTCTCTATAGAACAACACCCATTTCTTTGAGAAATGCCTTTACTTTATTTTATTTATTTAAGTATATTTGTTTGGAATAGAAGTTTAAAAGTGAAATGTTCATGAAGCATGTATGGAAATGTTTACTTTACGTACAGCCAGTGAGAAAATTTTAGTACCATGGTCAACAACAGCCGAGTCTCTTGGACTGTGGTGATGGAAATAGATCTTGGCAATTCGAGTTTATGTGATAGTAATGTTTATTGTAAATGTAATAAAAGTAGAGAAAGGAAAAGGTTCTCATATTTTTATTCACTGATTACTTTGGTCCTTTGAACGGCTCAAATTGGAAACTGACAGATTCAGAAGAGGATTGATGTATGTTTGATGTATTAAGATTATTCTATACCGGTAAATGTGTCATAATATTTCATATTTGCATATGAATGTGTGTTAACTGAAAGCATTTGAATTATCTCCCTTTACTTAAACCTGGAGATTACTTTTTCTCACCTGGAATCTATTCCTTTGTGTTTTAACTAACTAAAAATCCATGTTTCCACTTTCAGAAAGTGCCACAACTCCATATTCAGCTTTTAAAATGCGCATTTCGGTTGGATTTCTATGCAAATTTTGAACTTTTTCGAGCTTTGAAAATATCCTGATAATCTTTGAGGCAGGAAACTTTCAGGATTTCTTGAATATATGGTGCAGTCTCCCCAGATGTTATCAAAACTGTTAACTGAAAGCATTTGAATTATCTCCCTTTACTGTAAGTAAACTGAAAGCATTTGAATTATCTCCCTTTACTGTAAGTAAAGGGAGATAATTCAAATGCTTTCAGTTAACACACATTCATATGCAAATATGAAATATTATGACACATTTACCGGTGAATGTTGAGTGTATTTTCATTATCACCTTTAGCTAACAGTTTTGATAACATCTGGGGAGACTGGAGAGTGGAAACATGGATTTTTAGTTAGTTAAAACACAAAGGAATAGATTCCAGGTGAGAAAAAGTAATCTCCAGGTCGTGCTACGAAAAGTCATTTTTAAGCACATTTGAAAGGCACAGTCCATGGACTTTAACTGCAAAACGAAACCAAAAATTCAGAACAACATAATGGTGAAACATAAGAAGCAGCTTTTCACATGAAGACGAATATTAATCAAAAGCGAGTAAGCAATTCATATCAAGTGTCAAGAAGAGTAAGCATACTCTGCTGCTTAACATATACATACTCACTAAAGAAATAGGCTTAGCGTTGACCGAAACATCTGGCCTATAAACAAGAGTATCTTATACAATATTTATTATATCGGCTGTCAACAATAGATAAAGCTGTGTATTATTGTTGCTGTCAGGAGACCACCACGGAGTACCTAAAGATGTCAGAGCATTAAAACTCAACAGGACAGCGTGTCACATACGTAATATATCATCCAGAAATATTGGACCTTCATGTTTTGATATATTTTCAAAATGGCCGTCAAATTAATGTTAACGCATGTTTTTCTTGCACATTTAATGACAATGTTAAAATGCACCTTTCTAATGATGCGAATCTAATGGTACCAATATCATTCCAAAATACCCAACAGTTGTTAAAGATAAAGTTTAAAGAAGCTTATTTCGACATTGAATAATCAAAAGTTGTTCAAGATGGTGTCCATAGCATGATAGTTAATTCTTAGTTACAAAATCAGCAAATTGATTATCATGTTATGGACACCATCAGTTGTATATGAGCTTATTAATTATTCACTTTCCCTCCCCTCCCCATCTCACCCCCGCCCCCCATTCCATTTCATTCCATGCGGAAAGTGTGAATAATCAATAAGCTATACCCTACATTCCATCAATTCACACCCAAAAAGAACCCTATACCTTACATTTCATAATCAAATTAACTCGTTTCAAAATAGGATGAGTTTAATTTTAAAACACGAACAAGAAAGATTTAAAGGAGATGATTTCATCTCAGCACTAACTTCTCTGATTCCAAAAGTAGCTAACTTTGTTTTAAACAACAAATCACTTATTTCATCCGAAGCCCAGGCTATGGGTTCTATCGCAAAAGCAGGAGTGAAAAACCTAACAAGTTGAAAGAATTACAACTAATAATCTACTTTGGCAGCCATATTGAAAAAACACACTTTGTAAATCGAAAAATGGGACCTCAGTTGATACTTTGACGTTTGACCTCCGACTTGTACTTCCGGTTTTATAGCGTTCCAAAAACAGCCAAATTCACAACTTTGGACTGCTCTAGCATATGACCTAAATAACCTAAAGGGTCAATTTTTTCGGATTCTTGATGTGCTTCTCATGCTCTTTCCAGTGATATATAACAATCATATTTTGAAAGCAAAATTGAAATTCTTGATTTTTTCAAATTCGAGTGGTTTTTTACCATATTTATGTCTCTTTGAGCTTGGTATATGTATATCTTATGATCTATTTGATGTAGAACCTTGAAATTTGGAACAAAACTAGACATGTTGAATATGAATTCACTTATGACAAAAAAGTTGAGGTGGGCGTGGCAACCCGGGTTGAATTACTAATTGTTTACATTTAGGGGCAGGGGCATATCTCGCATAGGATACATTTGTTCAAAATGGGACTTTGCACACAATTACCTCATCCTTTTGGTTAATTTGTGTTAACAACTCAGTTGTTTCAGCTTTATAGTTCCAAAAAAGGAACGGGTTTTAAAAATTCCATATTTTCAATTTTAGATTTTGACCTTTTTTGATTTTTGGTACATCCGGGTACCACGACCTTGACCTTTATTGGGTCAAAGGTCATTGACCTTGGCTATTAGTTGATGCTTTCATATTTGACCTCTGACGTCTACTTCCGGTTTTATTATTTACAAAGTTTAGCTGTTTTGGTTTCCATCATTCTTAGTTACAAAGTTTAGCTGTTTTGGTCTCCATCATTCTTAATTACAAAGTTTAGTTGTTTTGGTTTCCATCATTCCTAGTTACAAAGTTTAGCTGTTTTGGTTTCCATCATTCCTAGTTACAAAGTTTAGCTGTTTTAGTCTCCATCATTCTTAGTTACAAAGTTTAGCTGTTTTGGTTTCCATCATTCTTAGTTACAAAGTTTAGCTGTTTTGGTTTCCATCATTCTTAGTTACAAAGTTTAGCTGTTTTAGTTTCCATCATCCTTAGTTACAAAGTTTAGCTGTTTTGGTTTCCATCATTCTTAGTTACAAAGTTTAGCTGTTTTGGTTTCCATCATTCTTAGTTACAAAGTTTAGCTGTTTTAGTTTCCATCATTCTTAGTTACAAAGTTTAGCTGTTTTAGTTTCCATCATTCTTAGTTACAAATTTTAGCTGTTTTAGTCTCCATCATTCTAAGTTACAAAGTTTAGCTGTTTTAGTTTCCATCATTCTTAGTTACAAAGTTTAGCTGTTTTAGTTTCCATCATTCTTAGTTACAAAGTTTAGCTGTTTTAGTTTCCATCATTCTTAGTTACAAAGTTTAGCTGTTTTAGTTTCCATCATTCTTAGTTACAAAGTTTAGCTGTTTTGGTTTCCATCATTCTTAGTTACAAAGTTTAGCTGTTTTAGTTTCCATCATTCTTAGTTACAAAGTTTAGCTGTTTTAGTCTCCATCATCCTTAGTTGCAAAGTTTAGCTGTTTTGGTCTCCATCATTCTTAGTTACAAAGTTTAGCTGTTTTGGTCTCCATCATTCTTAGTTACAAAGTTTAGCTGTTTTGGTCTCCATCATTCTTAGTTACAAAGTTTAGCTGTTTTAGTTTCCATCATCCTTAGTTACAAAGTTTAGCTGTTTTGGTTTCCATCATCTTTAGTTACAAAGTTTAGCTGTTTTGGTTTCCATCATTCTTAGTTACAAAGTTTAGCTGTTTTAGTCTCCATCATTCTTTGTTACAAAGTTTAGCTGTTTTAGTTTCCATCATTCTTAGTTACAAAGTTTAGCTGTTTTGGTTTCCATCATTCTTAATTACAAAGTTTAGCTGTTTTGGTCTCCATCATTCTTAGTTACAAAGTTTAGCTGTTTTGGTCTCCATCATTCTTAGTTACAAAGTTTAGCTGTTTTGGTCTCCATCATTCTTAATTACAAAGTTTAGCTGTTTTGGTCTCCATCATTCTTAATTACAAAGTTTAGCTGTTTTGGTCTCCATAATTCTTAGTTACAAAGTTTAGCTGTTTTGTTCTCCATCATTTTTAGTTACAAAGTTTAGCTGTTTTGGTCTCCATCATTCTTAATTACAC